ATGCGGTTCCTCCCCCACCCAGGCAGCGTTTCGTAGCCCCATAGGGAGCTCCACCGTAGGCCCCAGTGGGGGTGTCCACATGCGGTTCCCCCACCCAGGGCAGCGTTTCGTAGCCCCATTGGGAGCTCCACCGAAGGCCCCAGTGGGGGTGTCCACATGCGGTTCCCCCACCCAGGGCAGCGTTTCGTAGCCCCAGAGGGAGCTCCACCGAAGGCCCCAGTGGGGGTGTCCGCATGCGGTTCCCCTCACCCAGGGCAGCGTTTCGTAGCCCCAGAGGGAGCTCCACCGAAGGCCCCAGAAGGGGGTGTCCACATGCGTTTCCCCCACCCAGGGCAGCGTTTCGTGGCCCCATAGGGAGCTCCACCGAAGGCCCCAGTGGGGGTGTTCGCATGCGGTTCCCCCACCCAGGGCAGCGTTTCGTGGCCCCATAGGGAGCTCCACCGAAGGCCCCAGTGGGGGTGTCCACATGCGGTTCCCCCACCCAGGGCAGCGTTTCGTGGCCCCATATAGGGAGCTCCACCGAAGGCCCCAGTGGGGGTGTCCACATGCGGTTCCCCCACCCAGGGCAGCGTTTCGTGGCCCCATAGGGAGCTCCACCGAAGGCCCCAGTGGGGGTGTCCACATGCGGTTCCCCCACCCCGGGCAGCGTTTCGTGGCCCCATAGGGAGCTCCACCGAAGGCCCCAGTGGGGGTGTTCGCATGCGGTTCCCCAACCCAGGGCAGCGTTTCGTGGCCCCATAGGGAGCTCCACCGAAGGCCCCAGTGGGGGTGTTCGCATGCGGTTCCCCCACCCAGGGCAGCGCTTCGTCGTGGCCCCATAGGAGCTCCACCGAAGGCCCCGTGGGGTGTCGCATGCGGTTCCCCCACCCAGGGCAGCGTTTCGTGCCCCATAGGGAGCTCCACCGAAGGCCCCAGTGGGGGTGTTCGCATGCGGTTCCCCCACCCAGGGCAGCGTTTCGTGGCCCCATAGGGAGCTCCACCGAAGGCCCCAGTGGGGGTGTTCGCATGCGGTTCCCCCACCCAGGGCAGCGTTTCGTAGCCCCATAGGGAGCTCCACCGAAGGCCCCAGTGGGGGTGTTCGCATGCGGTTCCCCTACCCAGGGCAGCGTTTCGTGGCCCCATAGGGAGCTCCACCGAAGGCCCCAGTGGGGGTGTTCGCATGCGGTTCCCCCACCCAGGGCAGCGTTCGTAGCCCCATAGGGAGCTCCACCGAAGGCCCCAGTGGGGGTGTTCGCATGCGGTTCCCCCACCCAGGGCAGCGCTTCGTGGCCCCATAGGGAGCTCCACCGAAGGCCCCAGTGGGGGTGTTCGCATGCGGTTCCCCCACCCAGGGCAGCGTTTCGTGGCCCCATAGGGAGCTCCACCGGAGGCCCCAGTGGCTGCCCTCGCATGCGGTTCCCCCACCCAGGGCAGCGCTTCGTGGCCCCATGGGGAGCTCCACCGAAAGCCCCCGTGGCGCAGTTCGCATGCGCTTCCCCCACCCAGGGCAGCGTTTCGTGGCACCATAGGGAGCTCCACCGAAGGCCCCAGTGGCGCAGTTCGCATGCGGTTCCCCCACCCAGGGCAGCGTTTCGTAGCCCCATAGGGAGCTCCACCGAAGGCCCGCCCCGGTGGCGCAGTCCGCATGCGGTTCCCCCATCCAAGGCAGCGCTTCGTGGCCCCATATGGAGCCCCACCGAAAGCGGCACCCACAACGCGTTACCAACAATTGCTTATGGTTGGGTCTTTCGCCAGGATAATTTTACTGATGGTGTGGAACCGAACCCGAACCTTTACCCTTACCTTTACCCTTACCCTTACCCATTCATTCTTGGTACACACGAAGGTGAGGTTTGACCCAAGTAGTAGTAGTAGTAGTAGTAGTAGTAGTAGTAGTAGTAGTAGTAGTAGTAGTAGTAGTAGTAGTAGCCGTAGTCGTAGTCGTAGTCGTAGTAGTAGTGGTAGTAGTCGTAGTAGTCGCAGTAGTGGTCGTAGTAGCGGTAGCGGTAATAGTACTAGTAGTAGTAGTAGTAGCAGTAGCAGTAGTAGTAGTAGTTGTTGTAGAAGAAGTATTAGTAGTAGTAGTTGTGGTAGTAGTCGTCGTCGTAAAAAATGGTAGAACTGGTGGTAGGAGTAGGAGTAGAAGTAGTCGTAGTAGTAGTAGTAGTAGTAGTAGTAGTTGTTGTAATAGTAGTAGTAGTCGTCGTCGTCGTCGTAGTAGTAGTAGTAGTAGTAGTAGTAGTGGTGGTGGTAGTAGTCGTAGTCGTCGTCGTAGTAATTGCCGTCGTAGTTGTGGTATTGGTACTAGTAGTAGCCTTAGTAGTAGTAGTAGTAGTGGTAGCAGTGGCAGCCTCATTCGTAGCAGTAGCGCTAGTAGTAGTAGTAGTAGTAGTAGTAGTAGTAGTAGAAGTGGTAGTAGTAGTGGTAGTAGTAGTAGTAGTAGTAGTACTAGTAATACTATTATTAGCCGTGCTCGTACTAGTCGTGGTAGTGGTAGTAGTTGTTGGTTTAGTTGTTGCTTTGGCCGTTGTACTAATATACATAAGTAGGTAAGAGTGCGGGTAGTAGGAGAAGTACTAGCACTAGTAGTCGTAGTAGTAGTTGTCGGCTTTGTTGCAGACCTGGTCGCAATAGACGTGGTAGTAGTCGTATTACAGGAAGTCGTAGTAGTAGGGGTAGTAGTAGTAGTAGTAGTAGTAGTAGTAGTAGTAGTAGTGGTCGTAGGAGTAGTAGTAGTAGTAGTAGTAGTAGTAGTAGTAGTAGTAGTAGTAGCAGTAGTAGTAGTAGTAGTAGAAGAAGTAGTAGTAGTAGTAGTAGTAGTAGCCGTAGTAGTAGTGGTAGTAGTAGTAGTAGTAGTCGTCGTTGTGTCAGTAGTAGTAGGAACTGCTACTAGACCGAGCCGTACCAATAGTAGCAGAAATACTAGGATCGTTATTCGTATTAGGTTTTGCTTTTGTGTTTATAGGTAGTCGTAGGAATAGTGGTATTGTCGATACAAACAAAGAAGTAGTAGTAGTAGCTGTAGTAGGGGTAGTAGTAGTAGTAGTTGTAGTAGTAGTAGTAGTTGTAGTTGTAGTTGTAGTAGTACTGGTCGTCGTAGTAGTATCAGTGGTAGTAGTCGCTGTCGTAGTAGTAGTACTAGTAGTAGTAGTAGTAGTAGTAGTAGTAGTAGTAGCAGCAGTAGTATTAGTAGTCGTAGTAGTAGTAGTAGTAGTAGTAGTAGTAGTAGCAGCAGTAGTACGAATAGTAGCAGCAGCAGCAGCAGCAGCAGCAGTAGTAGTAGTAGTAGTAGTAGCCGTAGTAGCCGTAGTAGTCGTAGTAGTAGTCGTAGTGGTAGTAGTAGTAGTAGTAGTAGTAGTAGTAGCAGTAGTAGTAGCAGTAGTAGGACCAGTAGTAGTAGTAGTAGCTATAGTAGTCGTAGCCGTAGTAGTAGTAGTGATAGTCGTGCTCGTAGTCGTAGTAGTAATAGTAATAGTAGTAGTAGTAGTAGTAGTAGTAGTAGTCGTAGTCGTAGTAGTAGTAGTAGTAGTAGTAGCCTTTGTTGTAGTAGTATTAGTTTTAGTAGTAGTAGTAGTAGTAGTAGCAGTCGTAGTAGTAGTAGTAGTAGTAGTAGCAGTAGCAGTAGTAGTAGGAGTAGTAGTAGTGGTAGTAGTAGTAGTAGTAGTAGTACCAGAGTTCTGGAAGTACCAGTATTAATACGAATGCCTGTACTGGTTTTTCTTTGTAGAGAGCTTCGAACTTTCAACAAAGACCTACTTGATCCAATGTCGCTTCGTGGTTTCGTTCCAGCTACCTGGTGGGGTATTTCGTTGAGAGTTTCGTTGGGTGCTTCGTTGGGTATCCCGTGTAAAGTATATTGGGGTGTTGCGTGGGGCGCTCTTCGTGTAGTGTTGGCTGATGTGTCTTGTGTTGTGTTACGTTTGGTATTTCGTGGGGTGTTCCGTGTGGTGCTGGTGTTCCGCGTGGCGTGGAGTCTTGGTGCTTGGACTGCGGGCTAGAGAGACACGCCTCAAGTGGTACCACTTGAGGCACATCTGCCGAAACCAGGAGGGAAGAATATTGGAAGGATGAGAACGAGGAACGAGGGGGATAACGGGGAGGAGGACAAGGAGGAGGAGGGCGATGAGTACGACGGCGACGACGAGGACAGAGGGCTCATGGATGTTGATCGGGATCTCGTGGTTGGCCTCTCGGGGGCCTCCTGGAGCCAGGTTCGAGGCCTCGTGGTCGCCGTTTTGGAGCCTCGTGGGGCCTCTTTTCGGCCTCTTGGGCGCTTCCTGGGTCCTCTTTTAGACCTCTTGGGGGCCTTCTGGGGCCTCCTGGGGACCCCTTGGGGCCTTTTCGGGGCTTCCTGGGGTTTCCTGGCGACCTCTTGCGGCAGAACACTTGCGCTTTCGGTTCGCGGTTCCCCTCTAGGCTCTCTTTGGGGCCCGTCTTGAGACTTTCCTGGGCCGTCTCCGGCGCCTCTTGGGCCGTCTTCGAGGCCTCTTGGGCCGTCTTGGAGCGTTTTTGGAGGCATCCTGGGCCGTCCTGGGGCGGTCTTGGGGGGCTCCTGAGTCGTCTTGGAACGTCGGACAGCCGAAAAGGCGATGTTGTTAAACACGTACGTTCTACGAGAGGAAGGAGACCATTTTTACGTCGTGGGACCCTCTTAGGACGCATGTTCGGGGCCTTTTGGGGTGTTTTGGGAGCTTCGGAGGCCGTCTGGAGACCGTCGGCGTTTTGGAGCGGTGTTTCGGCCACTCGTGACCCTCTTGGACCGTCGGGGGGGTCGTCTTGGCGCCATCTTGGACAGTTTTGCCCCTCCCCCCCGCCCCTGACGCGCATTGTCCGGGACCTTCTGCGGCACGGGGGTGGGGGTCGAATTGCCGATTTGGGGTCCCGGGGGGGGGAGGATTATGGGGGGGCACGAGCTCACGCGCCTAGAGACCCACAAGGGGTCGGCGGATTTTCTTCAAATCCGCCTCTGGGAAGACATGCCCGACCCACCTCTGTTCTCCCGCATCCCCGGGGGCCGAGAGGACTTCACCTGCGGCAGGGTCTCGGGGCTCACCGCGGAGCCCCACGTGACCTCCTGCCAGGTGCGGGGCGGCGAGGTGGCGGAGCGCCGGGGGGGCTCGCAAAGCCGGGGGCGCTGACAGGGGGGGGGGGAGACTGGGCGCAGGGGGAAGCATCGACCCCCCATCGCTCGGGTTGACTTAAAAAGGTGGTCTAGCGACAAGGGGGTGGTGCAACAGATTTGGTGCAACAGATTTGTGGGGTTGCAGTACATTTTGGTCGTGCAGTACATTCCCAGGCGCAAATGTATTGCTGGATCTTCGCGAGCAATCCATTCGTCGCAATACAATGCAATACACCTCAGCGGCGCGACACATTTGCAACACAACTGCCCCAAATCCATTGCACCATCCCCTCTCAGCTGGACCCCTCTTCTGGGCATCGCTCGGACGTGTGCGTTTTTTCCTCGGCGAGGACCATCGAGGAGCATCCTTGATCGTTTGGCGCAACAACCACGCACAAAACCGTACAACAAAAACACAGGGAATGGACGTCCGAGCGATGGCCAGCTCTTTCACCACCTACCAAACCACCCCAACCCAACCCGAAGGCCTCAATTTGCCCTCCATTTCCAGTGCGGGGGGGGTCAGGGAACATAGAAAAAACACGTATGGAACCCATACCCCCCCCAACCCGAAATTCGGGTCTTCGGGTTGGGTTGGGGTGGTCTGGTAGGTAGTCACTCTTGGGTCGACCAGCATCGCCCGTTCCTCCCAGGAACAGGGGGGGGTTCCCACTCTGGGGCACGTCGCCGACCCCTCGGCGGCGCGCAGCCTCGATTTTTTCTGGGCCATGGTTTCCCCCCGTTTTTGGGCCGTCCCCCCCCCCCTGGTCGAGGAGGAGGGACGAGGAGGGAGGAGGAACGAGGAGGAGGAGGAGGAGGAGGAAAGAGGAGGAGGAGGGAGGAGGAGGAGGAGGAAGAGGAGGGAGGAGGAGGAGGAGGAGGAGAGGAGGAGGAGGGAGGAGGAGGAGGAGGAGGAGGAGGAGGAGGAGGAGGAGGAGGAGGAGGAGGAGGGGGAGGGGGAGGAGGAGGAGGAGGCGGTCGGCTCCCCTCACGCTGGGGGGGGGTCGGCGGCAGAGCAGCAGACGCAGACCCTCGAGGATGACATTCGTTTCCGCCGCGGTATGTTTGCTTCCTTTCGGCCTGCTGGGGCGGCGCTCGGGCCACGGTGCACAACTAGAGGAGGCCCGGGAGCAGATGCTTCACCCCGACCCCGATGCCGACCCCCGTCCCAGATCGGTCGATCGGGCCTGGGGGCGAGTTTTCTGCTCCCAGATCGGTCGATCGGTCGATCGGGCCTGGGGGCCGATGGGGGAGGACATCGGGCCTGGGGGCGAGTTTTCTGCTCCCAGAGAGCCCGAGGGCCCACACACCGACCACGGTCCGCCCAGGTGGGCCGAGGTGGTGACGGGCAGAGCGGGGGCGACGACTGACATCATGTGTTGTCCGTGTAGGGCTGGCTTCGCTGTCGGTGTCGCCACGGACGTTGTTTATTTGCAGCCAACTAGCGCCGTCTGCCCAGCAGCGGCCGCTGCCACCTTTAGGCGACACTTGCTGCCGAAGACGCCCGTTTGCGGGTGCTCTGGAACAGTGCCCCGCGGCGCCCGATGCGTCCCGGAGGCCTGCTTGCCTCATGAGATCCTCAAGGCGCTCCGTGCTCCTCGAGACCCCCCCGCTACTCCAGTCGCGTGGACAATTCCTTCTACAGTTGTCGGAGCGGGAGTTTTCACGCGGGGGTTGCCCCAACCCCCTTCGGGCGGCAAGTGAGGTCTGATTATACGGTGTGGAAAGGACGCCCACCCAGAAAGGTCGGGCTGAGGAATTCTGCACTGGATCACATGACGGCGCTATTCGCACTGTACTGGCGCAGTCCCACGCCGGTTTTGCTAATTGGCGTGTGTTCTGCCAGATGCATTTGGTAGTTTCGCTGACGTCAGGAAAGTGGGGACGGGGTAACAGCAGACGGGGTACCAGGAATTGGACGGGTCGAGGCAACAAACGCGCGCTTTGTTGCAGTGCAGTCTTTTCGGCTTTCGCGTTCACTGGAGCACCTGCCACATGTTGTCTGCGTTGGAAACCTGCGGCTGCTGCACTGCAACCCTGTCGGTGGGGCCTGTTTGCAGATGTTCCGCAACTAGTTGCAGACACATTGTGGTGCAGTTGTTTTCGCGTTGTCAAAAACTGCCGTGCAGTTTTTTGGTCCCGGTCGTTGCATTTCTCCTTGTGGATGACACGGTGGGTCTGTTACCCCGTTTCTGTGCTACCTGGTTCAGTCTTCTCTGGTGGCGTCGGTTAGTTGTTCCGCCAGGGTGCACTCGGCTGATGCTCCTCCTCCCCCTCCTCTTCCTGCTCCTCTTCCTCCTCCTCCCCCTCCTCCCCCTCCTCCCTCCTCCTCCTCCTGCCCCTGGCAGCTCTCACCACAGAGCGTGTTGCTGAATGGGGTTCTGTCAGTCCTCGGGATCGGCGTGTCAACCCGGCACTATAGGATGCGTCCTTTTTGGATCGGGGGCGGCAAAGAGGGGGTGATGTTTAGGGGGGGTGGATATCATGGCGTGGCCCATGATATTTCCTCAGATTTCATGGCGCCTCTTCTTATTTCATTACGTCCCTGGCCCCTCCCCCTGGGCCGCGCACATGCCGCCGGCCATGATCTGCGCCCCCAACTCTGGGACACCCCCCTCTTGGCCGACCCCGATCTGCAATCCGTGCCAGTTTTACCCCTTTCCAGATGAGGTTTACCTGGGCAACGGCGGCAGTTGCGCTTCGCGATCGTCGGTATCTACAGTCAACCAGCACAGCATGGACGAGCGACTTCCCAGGGCTACCCTTGCAGCCTTCCCCTTCGGCCCATCCTTCTTCACTTTCGCTGGCCGCGTCCCCGCTCGCAAAGTGTCGACGTGGCCTTCCAGGTCCTTAGCATCCTTATCATGCGTCCTTATTCCACTGGTTGGCTGTAAGGTTTTAGAGTTGCTCCCTATTCCGTATAGGCCGCACGACAGCTCGAAGGTCATCGCGTTTCGCATTTTTCGCAAAGCGCGACGCCCGATATGTGACCGGGTCAGTCCTGAGTGTTTTGGCTTACCTCCTTGGTCCCATGCGATTGCGAAGAGCGTCGCTCTGAGTGGTTTGGCCTACCTCCTGGGTCCCACGAGATCGCGAAGAGGGTCGTTCTTCGCTCGGCACGAGGTCGGGTGACCCAGCCTTGAGTCGGAGGGCACTAACGATGCTCCCTGTACCAATCCTGGTCAGGCTGATCATGGGCTCAGGATAATCCTGGCCAGGAACGGTATAGTGTGTACAGTTGGCATCCTGCCATGTTAGGTGGCGACATCCGTTCCCTACCCCGATCACCCATCGATTCTCTTGAATCGATGGGAGGCGGGGTAGTGTTCGGATTTCGCGACGTTGTCGACGAAGTCTGAACCCTACCCTGCCGCCCCACGAGTTTCCCAAGTCCTTGATCCGCCAGGGTAGGTCACGAGCGGCGCACATACCCGTATCCGCGCCCCGGGCGCGATCGCGCGGATGCGACGTCGCACGGATGCGTTCCGCGCGGGGTTTCTGCGAACAGAGTTTCCGTATCCGCGGGGTCGCGGCCCCCGATCTCGTCCCGCGAGGCTGCGGATGTGGACATGTGTGTCGCTTACGAGAGGGACTCTTCGGATGCAACTCCTGGGAGGTGCAATTTAGGTTTTGCCCGGGACCGAAATCCGATTTCAATCCGGCTCAAGCCCGCTCAATCCGGCTCAATCCCGCCTACTCCCGCTCCATCCGGCGAAATCCCGCTCAATCTGATCCGAGGCCCACTCCGGCGTAGCAGCCCCCCGCCATGGGGCTGGAAATCGTCAAGGCTTCCGACGAAGACCTCCCAGCAGTTGCCTCCTGAGGGTTCGGAGTGCGCTGCCGACCTTTTTGGATCGGGGGCGACAAAGAGGGGGGTGATGACTAGGGGGGTGGATATCATGGCGCGGGCCATCATATTTCCCCAGATTTCATGGCGCCTCTCCTCGTTTCGCTACGTCCCTGGCCCCCCCCCCGCTGGGCCGCGCACGTGCCGCCGGCCATGATTTGCGCCCCCCCCCCCTCTTGGACGCCCCCCTCTTGGCCGCCCCCGGTTGGAACCCTCCAGGAGCAGTTCCTCATCCTCGGCTGCGACGGGTTCTGGGACACGGCGAGCGCAGCGCCGGGCCTCAAGCCGCCATGGGGCGCCGGGGAGGGGGCGCCCCGCCCCGGGGCGCACAGGGCCCCGCCTCTCCGGGCGAGCGGCGTCGCCCTCCTCGGGGCTCGTCCTCGCTCCTCCGCAGATCGTCGAGCCTCCTCGGTCCTCCCCCTCCTCCCCTCCTCGGGCCTCCTTCACGGCCCTCCTCGACCCTCCTCCGTCTGCGGGAAGCGGGGGGATGGGTCGAGACCCTCAGGGGGTGGACCCAGGCTCGAAGCACGACCTTCGAATCGGGCCTCGAGCTTCGATCTTCGAATGTGGCCTACAAGCACTGGCGGCGCGCCCTGGGGGGGACGTGAGGGGGGCGCTCCTAAGAAGGCTCATCTGGCAGGAGGCATTCGGAGAAGCTTTATAAACCTTCTCCTTAGCCGCAGAGGGCTTCTCGGATGGCTGGGGGGGGTCATTTCGAGTCGCTGTTCACGGCCTTGGGCCTTGGCAAGGGCCCCCAGAGGCCAAGGGTGGACCCAGAACCTTCCGTGTTGGTTCCTGCTCACGACGCAGCATTGTCTGATGCGCACGGTAGAGGACACCGTCTCCGCCAGGGCTTGCGGCATCCGTCCACACCTCGAGGGAGTGAGCCCAGGCCCACTGTGGATGGGGATGGGTCCCGACAATGCTGAGACGCGAGGGAGCCTCGACCTTGGATTCGGGGGCAACGATAGGGGGATGTGCACATGGGGAGGGGGGTGCATCGACCCCCAATCGCCCATTGATCGCCAATAGGGGCCCGAAAGCCCCAAGCCGCCCAGGAACGTCTGGTTTTCCTATTAGGAGCCTCTCCCCGATGTATGGGCGATGTATCGCCGATTCCAGGTCGATGTTTTCCACCCTATCCCATTCCCTCCTATCCTCGAAGGTGACCTACGAGCAGGCGCTGGGCAAGGTGCTCGAGCTGCTGGACGCTGGGGAGGACGCGCAGAGCATCAGCGAAGTGCTCGTGCGCCGAGCGCACGAGGCTCGACGCCGTCGTCGAAGTCCGTCGGACGTCCGTCGTCATCGCCAGCGTCGCCGTCGTCGTCCTCGTCGACGTCCTCGTCGTTGTCGTTGTCCTTCTCATCCTCCTCGTCGTCGCCGTCGTCGAACATCGCGTCGTCGCCGTCGTCGTCGCCATCGCCGTCGTCGTCGTCGTTGTCGAAGATCGTCGTCGAAGATCGTCGTCGAGCACCCAAGGCTTTATGGAAGATCGCCTTCGAAGTCGTCGGCGTCGGCGTCGGCGTCGTTGTCGTCGTCGTCGTTGTAGTCGTTGCCATCGTCGTGGTCGTCGCCGTGGTGGTGGTCGTCGTCGTCGTCGAAGATCGAGGTGACAGGATCGAAGATCGTCGTCGTCGCCGTCGTCGAACATACAGGAAGTCATCTAAGATCGCCGTCGAAGTCGTCGGCGTCGGCGTCGTTCCCGTGGTCGTCGTCGTCGTCGTGGTCGTCGTCGGGTTGGTCATCGTCGTCGTCTTTGTTGCCGTCGTCGTGGTCGTCGTCGTCGTCGTCGTCGTCGTCGTGGTCATCTTGGTCTGCGTCGGTGTCAGCTTCAGCTGCTGTTTTGAGTTTGGCCCCCCGGGGCCGCAGCTGGACGCTTCTCGGACCACCTGGTCGGGACGCGCTCTGGGGCGTCGTCGTCCGTCGTCGACGTCGTCGTCGTCGTCCGTCGGCAGCCGTCGTTGTTGTTGCGGGGGGCCGTCGGCGGACACTCGAATGGAGAGGGGGGGAGGCTCGGGTCAGACGACAGCGGGGGGGATGGAGCAGTGTAGGCTTAATTCGGGCCTGTCCCGCTACAGGAGGAATATTCAAAAATCGTCAAAAAGTAGTCTGGGGACGATGTTTGGACTGTTTTTGATAACTTGGGGGGTATTCTTTTGAGTATCGTTTTGATGTTTCGCCCCAAATCCCCCTGTATGGGGACACGCCCGACTCAAGGATAGGCGTTTTTCAAAGGGGGGACGAAATGGCGATACCAACATTGGGAGAACCTGTACAAACATGGGTCTACGTTGGCCCCCCCTGTCGGAGCCGCCGGCGCCGCTCCCGGCGCGCCAGGAACTGCGCGCAGACCGTCAAACAACTTTTTGCCTAAGGCCGCCGCGAGGTTGCGAAGGTAGTCGCGCTTCGTGGTCTGGGCGATTTCAGAGCGAGGCGCGGGTCCCTCATCCTGTTTCGGGGGGGGGGTGCGGCGCGAAAGCGCGAAGAAAACCGCGCGCGAAGGTGGTTGCCGTAGGCGAGGGGTGTCCAGCGCAGATCCAAGAAATCCGCGCGGACCGTCGAAAGCTTATGCTCATGTGGACTGTTTCTCCTCTAGGAGGGGCGGACCCTGTCGGACGAAAGGGAGTGTCAAGGAAGATGAGGATCGGTCCGGACGGCAGGGCTGATTCATTACGGGAAGGGGAGGGGTCCGAGGATGGAGGCGCCAGGTTCACCAGCTACGCGCAGCCTCATTCACTCATTTTCCCGATCATCCTGTGGTGTTGGGTTCTCGTTTGGAAGAAACACCCGCGTCCTCACTCCCCATGCCCCCCTCCTCCCATCCTCCCCCTCCTCTTCTCCTCCCCCACTTTGGAACACCCCTCACACGCTTCGTGGTCCCATAGGGAGCTCCACCACAGGCCCAGATGCCAGCGCTCGCATACGCGCACCGCACCCATTTTGGCACACCCCTCACACGCCTTGTGGCCCCATAGGGAGCTCCACCGAAGGCCCAGACGCCAGCGCTCGTATTCGCCCACCGCGCCATTTTTTCTATTCCCCTTAATCGTTTCCTGGCCCCATAGGGAGCCCCGCAAAAGGCCCAGATGCCAGCGCTCGCATGCGCCCACCACACCCATTGTTGCATACCCCTCACGCGTTTTGTGGTCCCATACGGAGCCCCACCGAAGGCTCAGATGCCAGCGCTCGCATGCGCCCACCGCACCCATTTTTGCACACCCCTTACATGTCTCGTCGCCCAAAAGGAAGCTCCACCACAGGCCCAGATGCCAGCGCTCGCATGCGCCTACCACACCCATTTTGGCATACACCTCACACGCTTTGTGGCCCCATAGGGAGCTCCACCGAAGGCCCAGATGCCAGCGCTCGCATGCGCCCACCGCGCCATTTTGTCGACACCCCTCAATCGTTTCCTGGCCCCATAGGGAACCCCGCCGACGGCACAGATGCCAGCGCTCGCATGCGCCCACCACACCCATTTAGGCATACCTCTCACACGTTTTGTGCACTCCTAGGAAGCTCCACCGAAGGCACCCATGCCAGCGCTCGCATACGCGCACCGCGCTCATGTTTGGGCACCTCTCACACGCTTCTTGGCCCCATAGGGAGCCCCGCCGAAGGCCCAGATGCCAGCGCTCGCACGCGCCCACCACACCGATTTTGGCATACCTCTCACACGTTTTGTGGCCCCATAGGGAGCTCCACCGAAGGCACATATGCCAGCGCTCGCATGCGCCCACCGCGCCCATATTTGGACACCCCTCACACGTTTCGTCGCCCCATAGGGAGCTTCACCGAAGGCCCGAATGCCAGCGCTCGCATTCGACACCCTTCACACGTTTTGTGGCTCCAAAGGGCGCGCCAACGAATGCGGCGCATACAACGGCAGCACCCACAACTGCATACGGTTGGGTCTTTCGCCAGGCTGATTTGGCCTCCGGAGGCCTCAGGGACCTCTCTGCACCTCCGTGTGCGCAGGACATTGTCGTCCTTCGTCGCCTTTGACGTCGTCCGCCGACCGCCGTCGTCGTCTTTGTCGTCGTCGTCGTCGGCATCTTCCGTAGTTAGTCGTCGTGCGCCGTCGTCTGTCGTCCGTCGTGGTCGCCTCGTGGTCGTCGTCCGTCGGGCATTGTCGTCGACCGTCGTCGTTGGTCGTCGTCATCATCGTCCGTCGTCGTCCGTCGTCGTCGTTGTCGTCGTCCTCGTCGTCCTCGTGGTCCTCGTCCTCGTCCTCCTACTCCTCCTCCGTCGTCATCGTTCGTCGAGGCTGGCTCGACGGACAACATCACCGTGATCGTCGTGGTGTTGTGACGGCCCCAGTTCCCAAGCCTTTGTCCTTTGAGGGAGGAACGGACAAAAAAAGAGCATTGCGAGCCTTTTTCCTCCCTCGAGGTGGAGGAATGAGAAGGGAGGATCGATGGTTTTGATGTTTTCTGTTCTCCGTATTTGAGCCTGCTGAGGCCTCCACGAGGCCTTTGGGGCCTCGACCAGGGACCTTCCGGGCTTCTTGCTCCACAGACCTCCAGGCTCCAGGGGTTGAGACCAAGGTCGAATCTCGTTTATGCGAGGCCATCGGAGGGCTCCGATGCGAATCGATTCTTGCCTCCGTCCTTGCGAAAAGTCTCCGGATGAAATGGACATATGCACGAGGGAAGTACTCATATACGCGGTTGCACAACAGCATTTATATCCATTGCATGTTCTAGAGCTTCAAATTCATGAACTCACAGGGGATTATACGGTCGCTGACGGGTCATGTGGATGATTGAATTCTTGACGACATCCTGTGTGGACCTGATGGGATTCTGAGGCAACTAAGGGAAGCCTGAAGGAGTCCGGACGAAATCATGAATGAGTCCTGTGGGAATCCTGGGAGATCGTGGGGGATTACGAGGAATATTTGGGACATTGGAACTCGAGGAACTTGCTGAACCCTGAGCAGAGGAGTTCTCCAGACGCTAGGTGCCATCCGGACTCCGTCAAGATCCCCGGAAGTCCTTGACGTGCTGTTTTGGTTTCTTTCGCGTTTCCCTTGGCGTCCAGAGCGTGCATCCTCTGTTCGTTTACGCGTCGGTTTCCGCAGGAATTGCTCAGTTTAGCACAGTTGTTCGGTTTCAGCAGGAATCAACGGGCGTCCCCAGGATTTCACAGGACACCTCAGGATTCCCAGGGTTCCGTCAAACAAGCATTTGTTTCACGCATTAGCCAGGTCCGTCGGGATTCTCTGGATGTTATTTTGCGATTCCCCTCTTGATTCCCTCATGTTCCCCGCAGGATTCCCCAAGGTTCGCCAAGATTTCCTCAGGACTTGCTCAGCATTGCATTCACGATTCCCTCAGGATTCCCCGAATACTTCTCAGGATTATCTGATGACCCCTTGATGATTTATTTTTGGTTCCCAGGCGTGTTCTAAGTATTTCTCATGGCTCTTTGAATTTCCAAAGGTTTCCCGAATTCCCTGGTGATGCCCTCACGATTCCTCAGGATCATTGGGCGAGTTTCTGATGAAGCGTCAGGTTTCCTCAGCATCCCTGATAAACCTTTCTGGCCTCAAAATTCCATCCGACTCCTCACTATTACCCCAGGATTCTATGGATCAGATCCCAAAGTTCCATCAGTATTCCTTTGTTGCCTTGGGAGGCGTATGGGGTTCCCTTAGGATCCTCTCTGGATTTCTTAGGTTTCTTCTAGCTTGCGGGGACTCCCCGATGGCCCCAATGAATCTCGGAGGGAACCCCCAAGATCCGGATTCCCTGGTGTCCGTCCACATTATTCAGGCATCCGGACGAGCCCTCACGATAAAATGTCAGGAGTCCTGCGGGAATTGAGATCTCATCCCAAGAACGACGCGTGGAATCTATTAGGGCGTATATGTTGGGCTCCGTGTGTGGCACCGTAAGCAGTGGGGATCCTTCGGGAGGCCCGACGAGGGCGGGAGCCCAATGGGCGAGCCCATCAGAGCACACGCCCGATGGGACCCTGCGGATGGGATCTGGGGCCCTCACCGCCCGGGGAGGCCGGCCACACCTTTTTCTTTGATGCGGTCACTGGATTGCATTTAAGACGACGCGAAGATCGGGACAAAATCGGATCGGGATAACTCGAAATCTCTGAGAATCGGCGGGTTTGGAGGATGTATTGGGCGCCGCGGCCGCTCCAGAGCGTTCCGGAACGCTCTGAGGGCGCTCCAGAACGCTCTGGAGCGAGTTATCCCGATCCTAGCCCTGTTCGAGCATTCTGTGCGAGCGCGGCTTCGGGAGGAGGGCAGCCCCGATGGTCGAAGAAGAGAGCACGGCATTACAGTCGGGGCCCTGAAGAAGGAACCCTTTTCGTTGGGGAGGGGCTCCGCGTTCATTACGTGTTTCACAGCTTGCCTTGGATTTTCCTTAGGTTTTCGATACGAAATCGAAGTTCAACTTATGGGGGATAGGGGCCTCGTTCCTTATTTAGGGTTCCTTAGGTCAAGCCCCCGACTGTAAACTTCTGGCGCTCCGCGCGGATCTCTTGGACCCGCGCTGGGCCCGACGCCGGCAGCATGGAGGCAGATCGTCGGCGGGCCCGGCCCAGCGCTTCGTCGGAGCTCGCCGGCGCCGCGCCAGCGCCGTGCCGCGGTCCCGCCAGCGCCTCGCCAGCGTGTTGGCTGCGTCATCTGCCTCCTGCCCCCTTGCCTGCCCCCTGCGTCCCCTCGCTGTCCCCTCTCTCTCCCCCTCTCTCCCCCTTCGCCATTCTCCAGCTCCTCTCCGGCCCCCTCCCGTTCCCTCCTCCTCCGCTTCCTCTATACCCGCATCCTTCATCCCCCAGCCGCCCGGAGGGGCGAGAGGAGGGCCAGCGGGGACGGCAGGAGGTGGTGGGTGGGCGGGGGTGGAGGGGTGGAGGGGGGCGGAGGGGCGGAGAGGGAGGGAAGAGAGGACGTGGAGGCGGCGGAGTGGCGGGCAGGAGGATGTGTGCGAGAGGGCGGAAGGAGGGCGGCAGGAGGGGGGGGCAGGCGCGGGAGGCGGGACGAGGAGCCGCGGCGGCCGCACGGGGGCGGGAGCGGGCCGGGGGCAGCGCGGGGGGGGGGGGGCAGCGGGGGACGGGGGAGGGGAGGGCGAGTGTCGAAGAGGAAAATGGCCATAAGCAAAGCACAAATTTCTGGCGCTCAGCGCGGGTTTCTTAGATCTGCGCTTGCCCCCCCCCCCCCCCCGGGTGCGCCTCCGGCGCCGCCCCTGGCGCGCTCCGCGCGCCAGCGAGGGGGGTCCAGCGCAGATCCAAAAAATCCGCGCGGAGCGCTAACAGTATATACTTCCGGCGTGTTCTCTTTTTCTACAGAGAGGGGGCGAGGGAGTGTTGGGGGGAGGGCGCCAGAGGAGGTGGAGAGGAGGAGCAGGAGGAGGAGGAGGTCCAGGTCGGGGCGGGGGAGGGTAGGAGTGGAGAGGCTGGGGGGGGGGGGGGGGGGGATGGTTGGGGGGCACCAGAGGAAGAGAACACGGAGGGCTGGCGACGAAGAGGGCCAGGACAGCATGGAGGAGGACGGGGGTGGCCAGGATCGTGATGAGGACGATTTCGGGGCACGAACAATGACATAAACATCAAAATTCGGAGGTCCGCGCGGATTTCTCGGATCCGCGCTGGACCCCACCAGGGAGGGGGCTCCAGCACGGATCCAAGAAATCCGCGCGGACCTCCGAGTTTCCATTTTCGTTCCTTTATAAGAACAGCGCCGGTTTTAATATATGCTCCGCATGCGGATCATGTATTAAACGTGCAGGGATTGAGTATTCAAAATATCGATAGGCGCATACATATATAACTTTATTCATACATTAGTCATGTATTTACAATCATCTGTTTAATAATCTTATGGAGTAAAAACAGCCCCGTAGGGCAGGCGTTCGCGGGACGAAAGGTGGGTCGCACCTTACGGGTAGGGCTGGAGGGCGAGCAATGCGGTGAGGGTGACTCACAGTGGGAGCAACAACAGCAGCAATAAGAGTGGGAATGTGGGCGCTGCTAAAATGAGGATGATATTACATGGGAGAAAGTAAACCGATCTTAGTGTGACACGGACTTAGCATATGGCTAGCAACGAAAGCACTTGTATGAGCAGCAGAAGGTGTCAAAGTCGAAGTGGACATAACTAAAGGAAACCCGTATGTATTATTCGATTGATCCCCCTCCCGCATCGTCGAGCTCGTCTTCGTTGTGTTCCCCCCATCCAGCTCCAACAACGTCCCCACTTGGTCCCCATCGGCAGTATATTGCACCCTTCTCTCCATTCTCCACCTTTCTCTTCTTGTTGTGTGCTCCTATTTTGCCTCTTCCTTGCGCTCCGTTGCCAGCCTCCTCGTCCGTTGCCTCCGCCCCCACCCTGCGTGCTTCCTTGCTATCTTCAGCTGCTGCTTCTGCTGCCCCTGCCCACCTCCGAAACGAAGACGTAGACGCCGCCGCCGTCGCCGCCTTCTCCTCATTCTGAGGAGGAGCTCGAAGAGGAACACGAGTAGAGGGAAGAGGATCGAGGAACGAGGAGGAGGAGGAGGAGGAGGAGGGACGGAGGATGAAGGAGGAGGACGGAGGAGTGAGGAGGTGGAAGGGGAAAGACGAAGCAGGGAGGGGGGCGGGGGGCGGGGCCAACCGTGCGGCGAGGGCGCTCCCAGGACAGATTCGGAGCCATGCCTGGGCGCTCCCAGGGCGCTCCTGCTCCTGGCCGCCCCCCTCGTCTGGAGACGACCGGCGACGACGGCTCCCCGTGGCGGAAGCCGGGGTTTGCCGGCGGGTTGGGGCCCAGGATGCCCGGCAGACGCTGCTGCAGGTGCGCAAGCAGTACGACCAGGCGACCGGGGCGGGGGGTGGATGGGGAGTTCCGAGGAGGAAGAGGTACCGATACCGCTACTCGTCCATCGTTTCGCCTTTTTCGGCCTCCTGGGAGGCCCTCGTCGCCACGGCTGGGTTTTGCTCGGAATTCTGGTCATAACGCACCCTGGGAGAGGTCCGGGGAGTAGCGGTTAGGTGCCTTTTGTTGGGAACCCCCAAACCGGGTGGTGAGATACCAGGTGGCGACCTGGAATCCCCAAAAAGGTCACCGCTGGGTTTGGGGACACGGGGTCACCACCAGGTTTTGTGACTCCTGGACCCACCAGTGTTCGGGACATCCCCGGAAAACCGCACGAGTCCCCAAACCGGGTGGTGACACCAAATCGCCGGAGACTCACCGCCAGGTGTTGTCACCACCACGTTTGGGGACTACCAATTTTGGTTCTTTTGTGGTTCGGTAGGTTTGGCAAGGCTTCGGTTTGCGCGCCGTCCGCCCCGCGAGGCAGTCCTGGCTCGGAGCGCTCTGCAGAGGCCGCGCTGCGTGGCGCAGCCTCCATAATTACCCGATGGCGCTCCTGCCATTGCGACGTTCATGTGTTCAAGCTGTCGGCTCAGCACATGCTGCCAAGCTGGTCCGCGTAGATGTGCAGGTCCGCGTAGATGTGCAGGTCCGCGTAGATGTGCAGGTCTGTATTGGGAAGACGAACCTGCTTCCAAAAAAATCTGCGTGCATTGGGACGGCGAACCTGCTCCCCCCCAAAAAACAAAAGGCGTGTACTGTGAAGGCGAGCCTGCTCCCCCCCCCCGAAAATTCCAAACCGCGTGCACTGGGAAGGCGAATCTGCCCCCCCCCAAACAAAAACACAAGCTGCGCGATCTGGGAAGGCGAACCTGCTCCCCCGCCCAAACAAGGACACAAGCTGCGCGCACCGGGAAGGCGAAGCTGCTCCCCCCCCAAGCGGTGTAGCGTTTCATGCGGAGGATGAGGATGAGGAGGAGGAAGAAGAGGGGGGGAGGAGGAGGAGGAGGAGGAGGAGGAGAAAGAACGGCGTGCGCTGGGGGAAGGCCAGCCTCTGTGTCCCCCTCAAACAGAACCAGCGACCGCGTGTAGTGATCGGGAGAGCGGCGCAGCCCCCCCCCCGCCCCTTCTGAGGCTCCGAGAGGAGGAGGAGGAGGAGGGAGGAGGGAGGAGGAGGAGGAGGAGGAGGAAAGGGCGGAGGAGGGCGGAGGAGGGGGGGGCGGAGGAGGGCGGAGGAAGGGCGGAGGAGGCGGAGGAGGGCGGAGGAGGGCGGAGGAGGCGGAGGAGCGGAGAGGAGAGGAGGAGGAGGAGGAGGAGGAGGAGGAGGAGGTCCGTAGCCATTTTGGCTCAAGTCCGTAGCCTTCTGGGCTCAGGACCTGGCCTTACTGGCAAAGGGGGAGCAACGGCCCCCACAGTGCCCTTCGTTTGCCTGGCCAGACGAGGATTCTTTGTGAGCTCTTGGAGGAGCAACCTTCCCAATCCTCTTGCCAATGGGCAAGAAGCGCCCCGGTGGCCATTTTGTGCCCAAGACGGCGCAGAGCCAGTGCTGGCGATGCTCCGCGTGCGGGTGCCAGCGCAATGAGGCTTGGTGGACGTGGTGCAAGCATTGTCATGCCCCGAGACAGGCGCCACGCTTCAGTGCATCCTGGTCCGCTCCTGTGCCTCCTGGTGTGTGGGGGGATGCTCAGCCTGCGGCTCAATGGCATGCGGGGCCCCAGGGGCATGACGCGGGCTCCGTGATGGCGGCCGCCTTGCGGCCAGGGCCGCAGCTCCTGGGCCTCGGCGGCAAGGGTGGCAAGGGCCACGCGGGCGCCAGCGGCCAGCACGGGGCTCCTGGAGGCGGCGACGCTGGAGGAGGAGGCCCCGCCGCTCCTGGCCTGCAGCTTGTCGGAGGCGGGGGATTCTCCAAGGGCCCTCCGCGACAGTTCGGAGACCAGGACCTGCCCAGGCTCAAGCAGCTCTCCGCCACCTTCAAGGAGCTGGGGGACAAGCAGCAGTTCGAGCATTATTCCGCCATCGTTGCGCGGCTCGAGCACGCGAGCAGAGCTCCGCCGCCGCTCAGCGTCGGCGCCGCCAAGCATGCCTTCGAGGTTGCCAGGGTCCAGCTGGACAAGGCAGTCCAGGCGGCGGAGCGCATCGAGCAGTCGCTGGCGGAGGCCAAAGGGAAAGCGGTGCTGGCGCACACTGAGTACAAGCGCAGAGAGGCCGAGGACCATGACACTGTTCGTGCGCTGCAGTAAGTTCTCCCTGCAGGTCCAGGTGCGGTGCCTGACAGCAAATGAAGACCACTGCTGGACCTCAACGCGTTGCTCGACGGGGCTGATGTGGAGTTGGACGATCGATGGGGTTTTCGGCCTCGACGACGAGGGGCTCGTTCTCTCCTCTTCTGAACGTGCTGAGCTGGACCGACGCAAGGCTGAGTTGCTCGGTATCTTCAGGGAGGCCACCAAAGCCGCCATCGGCCAGGCCAAGGAGAAGGCCGCCAGCCTGGTGGAGGAGCACAAGGAGTTCAATCGCCGCATGGCCGGCTCCAAGCGCAGGAGGTGTGAAGAACCGCCTGCTGCAGCCCCAGGCACACCCGTGGCAAGCACCCCCCCAGCCGCCGCCGAGGTGCCAGCAGCAGGTGCGGGTGCTGCTGAAGTGCCGATCATGCCTGTGGCGACGGGAGACGGCATGCAGGACCAGGATCGGTCGGGTGCTTTCTTGCCGAGCCCGCCTGCGCAGGTGGATCTCACTTTGGGAGAGTCTCAAGCGGTCCCCAGTGATTGCGACGACGAGACGCTCTTTGAGGAAGCCAGGAAGCAGGCTCAGAAGGGGTCTTCCCTTTAGCTTAGGCTGTTTCCGTTTCGATCCTGCGGCGCCTCCGTTCTCACCGAGGGGTTTCGTGCAGGCCGCAAGAACACTGGATTCCTTGGAGCGCTCGAGCACGGCCACTCCCAGCGGGTCAGCTACTTTTTCGTGTTTTTCGGTTTCGGCGACCACGGGTCCACGGGCGCGTGGGCGCTCACTCACCACGCCTGTTTCGGTGACCCCGTGCTGGCACGGCGCGCGCCCCGAGACGGGCCTGGCAGGAGACACCCCGTGGAGAGCCAGCGCTACGTCACCGTGTACTCGGGCCTGGCCGTCTGGGTTAGTGTCGGCATCTACGCGGGTTTGGCGAAGCTCGACGGATGCGTTTGCGGCTACTCCGTCCTCGTCGGTGGCAGGTTTTTTTTGTATGGGTGTCTCCCTGTCCCCTGTCCCATCCAAATCCCTTCCAGTTGCGCGGCCTTTCGCCCCAGCGGCGCGCACGGATCCACCTCGCCTTGCGGGCGCAGCAGGGGGTGAAGTACCGACCGATAAGGCGCGCATGGATCCCCCTGCCAGACTTGCGGGCACAGAGGTTGGCGAGGTACCGACCGCTGGGGGCAGCGAAACGCGTGGGGGGGAAGGAGCGCGGTCTATCCCAGCTGGTGCGCCTCGACTCCCAGAGAAAGTCCAAACCGAGCGGAGACTTAGTGGTTTGGGCCGCCAACACGACTGCCTTGAAGTCCGCCCTTGCTTATGTTCGTCAACGGGCCGAGTGCCGTCGGACACGGATGCTTGCAGATCGGCCTGCGCAGTTGCTGTGTCTGCAGGAGCTCGGCGCGCACCCGGATGATCGGACCCAGTGCGAGAAGCAGCTGAGGGACCAGGAGTTTTTTGTTGCAGTGCAGGCTAGCCGAGTCACCGAGCTTGGCGGCCTGTCAGGGGGCGTTGGAGCGGGCGTGCCTCAGCACGCCGGCATGGGCGAAGGCCCGATGCCCAAGCAACCTCTTCCATCTCCTCATCGCCTCATCGTCAAGTGGGTCAACGCCCTGGTCCCAGGGGGCTTCTGGTTAGCATCCGCGCACCTACCTACCGAGGCTCCCTTCGGGCCCGAAGGGGCCCACCTGCTTGCGCGCTTGGGCGAGCTGTTCCACGCTATTCGGAGGCCCTTTATTGTTGGGGGCGACTGGGATACGACACCCTCGGAGCTGGCGTCCATGGGCTGGCCGAGTCGGGTTCGGGCTCGGATTGTTGCGCCACGTGAGGTCACGTGTCGGTCAGGCAAGGGGCGTATCTTGGACTACTTTGTCGTCTCGGATGTCCTCATGCCGTCCGTCACGGGGTGCTCCGTGGCGGTCAACTCCTTCCTGCCCCCGCACAGGCCCGTGGGGCTCCGCCTTGCTGCCCGTGCTGTGCCGACAACGATTCTGGTCCATGCTGGCCCTCGCAAGTTTCCGCAGGAGATCCCAATTGGCCCCTATCCTGTCCCGCCAGATTGGTCTGATGTCTTGGAGGCTCTCGAGAAGCAGGGGGACCAGCGCAGCTTGAACCAGGCCTTTGGGAAGTTTGTCGGGCGCATGGAGGACGAGCTTATCGGGGCCCACGGGATCCCAGAGGAGCAGCAGGACAGGTTTCGAGGAAGGGGCTTAGGCTGGAAGTACAAGCGACTCCCTGGATTCGCTCCAACGCCAGGCCCGTGCCCTGTTGCTAGCCAGGAGGCGTTGGGCTGGAGACGAGCGGTCAATTGGCGCCGCGAGCTCGGCCACATCCAGTCCCAGGATGCGTGCAGGAGGCCTCTCGTGCTCGCCCCCCTTCTCGCTAAGATCAGCACGGGGCCAAAGGCGATCAGAGACTCTTCAGCCTTGGCCGCTTTTTCTCTCTCCGCCGCAGATTGGAGCAGCGCGTCGTCCGTCGGCCTCTTTGACTTTGCCAACCTCGCAAAGAAGGAGGCCACCCGTTGCGAGAAGGGGTTCGCTTGCCGCCGGTCCGCTGAGTGGCGCCTCTACGTGAAGGAGGCAGTCGCCAACGGTGGCGGCAAGGCCCACAGGTTCACCCGCCTTCCTGTGGGCTGGAGGCCTATCCAGGCCAAGCGTGGCGACCCCCCCCAGGCCCAGGGGAGGAGCTGGAGCACGTTCTCAAGGATTGGGAGGAGGTCTGGTCATGCCCCGAGGCCGACGAGGACCCAGAGGCATGTATGCGTGAGCTGTCGTCGT